TTCTCAATATAGCCAATATTTACAAAACTAAAAAGGGTTGGCATAGTAATTAAAAACACAACAATTCACCATGTGTTTCAGGTTTTGCTTTAAGCTCATTTGTTTTGCAAGGAACTGAAGTCTGTTTGCAACTAAACAGCTCCACTCTCCTGTCTCCTCAGTCCACTCTACAACAACAGTCTCCTGTTCACCTTTCCAAAAAACTCTTACAGATTCATCCATATCCAGCATATTTGTTATGGACTTCTCATGGACCAAGGTCACCAAATTCCTCTTTCTCTTATGTCACAAAACGAAATAATCTTTGCTAAAATTGCTAATTGCTAAAATTATACAATATCCTGCAGGTACCCGTCTCAAAGGTATGGACACCCACAGTGTGTCTCTTTCCCTCTCTCTGTCTACAAAGCACCTAAAAAAAACCTGAAACCTTTTTGTTAAATATTTGGTAGTCGAGTTGTTTATGATGTTTATTTATGTCTGGGATCATTTATAAGAACAGTCGTCTCAAAGATGTCAACATCTGAACAGGCACTCAAACCACAAACCTGCAGATTATCAGTCTGCTGCTCTGACTTTATCTCAACAGTTAAACATAGCAGAGCAGATCTGCCGCTGAACTCAAACCAAGTAAAACGAGGTTCTTTTCATTCATATTCAGGTTTCCTCAGTTTCTTACTCAGATTCACCTCTTGCTCGTTATGACTCCATCTTTTATATACAGTCTATGAAGTAGTCCTGGTGTAGCTTACCTGCTCAGAGGTGGGTTTTTTCTATACATGAAATTATGACCTGAGTAACTCTGTGTAACTAACATTTTAGTTTATTTCTGATCAGTTATGAATATTTTCATGTCATTTACAGCAACTGCTGATCAGCTTCAATCTCACAGACCGACAGCAGCAGAAAATGGAGAAAGGACCGGTTTCTGCATTTTAACCACCAGATGGTGGTATTGGATTGCATTTGTCCATGTAGTCAACAGCAGTAGATAAGAGAACTATTTTCATTAGATTGTTGTATAAACCTACACAATCTGTAATATTATGTAAATGTTTTTTATTTGTTTTGCACACAGCATCCAAAGTGTGCGAAACCTGGAGCTGCAGTTCATTCCTGTGATGCATAAATACCTGCAGCTCACTAGATCTGTGTATTTCTAAACGATTTACTGATTTATTTGATATATGACTGTTCCTTTAATGCTTCATTGTGTTTTACACAATGCTATTGAGAAAGTTACTTGTGTTGGGATGAACTGAGAAGGAGTAAAAACATTTTGACTCATGACAAACAAAGAGGAAATGTCACAAAAAAAGCTCCAAAGTCTCATGTGTAAAACATGTTCTTGTTTTTGAATCTGATATTTACAATAATTTGTGCTGGGAACATAAACTGTCTCAAAATAGTTATAATAATAATATTATAATGAGGAAAAAGAGCAATGAACTAATGATGTCACATGTACATGCTAGAATGGCTTAATGGTGATTGGGAGCTCAAAACCTTTTAGAATCGAAGGGAAAACCCAACAACGGCACCCTGGGAATTTCACCCAGACAATATTTTGTTTCAAAACATGTTAATTATCAAGAAGTAACTCAGGTACGTTATACTTGAGACAGACGTGTTTCAGTGTAAACAATTTGCTGAGAGCCATTTAAAATACATCACATAAAAAGAGCTGAGGATTCAACTGCACATGTGCTGTAAATTAAGAGCTGCGGCTTACTAGTGGGTGAATGGGATGCCATGTAGACAAACTGGTGAGATTGTGATTACAGATGTGCAAATAAACCTGTTGTGAGAAATCACTTGGTTTTTTCTTTTTCTTTTTTTGTGTGTGTGTGTGTGGGGGGGTGGGGGGGGGGGGGGGTTCTACTAGCAGCTGTACAAAAGCACTTGAAGCTTTTGAAATGTTAGCGTAAATGTTTTAATCATAGTCTAAATTTCTCCGGAAGCTGCTGAGATTATATAAAGTCCAGCAGGTAAGCAGAGAGCAACTGTTCTTTGTGTGCTTCACACTGAAAACAAACTGTGAATACGTTGCAATATTTTTCTAAACAGAAGCAGTGTTTACAACTGCACTGGTTATTCAAGCTGCATTAATTTATAATTTAAACTCATTTCCATTGAATATCAAAATAATTTAAAACCGGACTGTTGTACATTTTTTTAAATAATTTATTTTAAGGCATTTCTAGTTGTGGTGATCTTAGTTTGTATTTGATTCTGTGCTTGTTTTGGTGTTATTTATTTATTTATTTTTTTGGTTAAGGTCTGGTGACAGATACAAATGAAAAAACTCTGTGTAAAACTCTGTGCTCAAGTTCTCTGGCTCTATGTGACTTTCAACTTACAAGTATGAATTTTAACCCAATGTTACTTCCTTTCAGCTGATTGGTTGTCATGTCAATCCCCAATTTAACAATCCAACAAAGAAACAGATTGTTGGGCTGTTGGAGCAGTGCTTCATTGAGATTCAGGTCCAGTAAGTAATAAAAGATAAGGTAAAGGTAAAGGTAAAAGGGTAATACAGTTTGAAGATGGAGGATCTCTATACGAATATCCCATAAGGCTCACACAAGCTAGGTCCCTTAACTTTCGGTAGCTGGTGAAAGGATAAAGTTGTGGTATATGTGACTGCTGAGCTCTGTCGTTTTTTTGGTTTTTTTTGCGGCAGGTCTATGTCCATAGAGCCATTGAAAAGGCTCTGGAAGTCTCTGTATAAGCACGTAAAACTGTGACACAAAAAATTCACAGAACTCGGACATGCACAAAATGTTTCACCTTCATGTGCTGTCTGATTGGATTGTTGAATTTGTGATTGACATGACATTGACCAATCAGCTGAAAAGAAGAAAAAAATATGTTAAAATTCGTACTCCTAAGTTGAAAGTCACACGCAGCCAGGGAACCTGAGGACAGAGTTTTACATGTAGTTTTTTGCTTTGTATCTGTAACCAGACCTTACCAAAAACAATTTGTAACTCGTGTAAATATTTTTTACAAACACACATATTCTCATTTATAGATGCACAAACATAAAAATGTCAGATATTTTTGTTTACACAGTTACAAAACTCAATTCATATTTGCATGCATTTGATTTACAAGTACAAAATATTTATGACCACAACTTGAGCCCATATCTGTGTTTGTCTGCATCTTCAAGGCGTGTTGAGGAGGTAATTTTGCCATTTAAATCAGCTGTGTTGGATCAAGAACACATCTAAAACCTGCAGGTCACCGGCACTCGAGGCCTGGAGTTGCCTACCCCCCAGGGTCCTCCATTCCTGCCTGCTGCACACAACAAACATGACAACTAATATTTTTTCAGTTACAGTCTGACTTCCAGTTTCTACATATTCAGTCCATTCTGCCAACTCTAAGATTGCACTTTTTTATGTATGTTAGATCTGTGGTCTCATGTTTTCATAAGCATCAAAGGGCTCAGCCACACCTCCTCACTGAGGTAAAGTTTTAGTTCTTCCTCTCTCAGACATGCTCTGACAGGTTTAGGAAATCTCTCTTAGTGATAATAATAACAACTTTTTATTATTTGGGACATTTTGAATGAAGGGTTTGCATATTTTAATATCATGTTAGGTATAATATATAATAAGTACCATTCTGATTTTCACTCAAACAAAAAAGTTCATGTGACAGTCATGTGTATATATATTTAGAATTCTGCTGATATCAGTAATCATTATTACCGTAGGTGCATTTTCTTTAAGCATTCACATGTTTTCTATCTAAATGCTAACAAAGCACATTTTCAAACCACAAGCGGACTTTCTGATCAGCTGAGCTGAGTGCAGCTGATCAGAAAAATGCTGAGAGAGCGCTTCCCGCACACCAATGCAAAGCTTCTTCAAGCTGCTGCCGTCAGGGAGGAGACTGCGGAGTCTCCAGGCCAGGACCAGCAGACTGAAGGACAGCTTCATCCATCAGGCTGTCAGGAAGCTAAACTCCCTCCCGATTCTGCCCCCCTCTCCCCTCTTCTCCACCACGGTCTCACTGAACTCTGTCACACACACACACACACTCTCACTCTCTGACGCACTCACTGGCCTGCTCCAGTCACTTTGTGGAGCATTGGGCTGCCATTACCTCATAAGACTTTGCTGTTACACTATCTCTTACCGTACACTACTAAATCTCCATTTGCACTATTTGCCCATTTTGCACCACTATGCCTTCTTACTTGAATATTGTATATTGTATATTGCATAGCTTTTTTTTGTTATACGTAAAATTGTATTGTATTTATTTAAATTTTTACTTTTTAATTATTTTATTTGCATTTTTCTAATCACTAGGGTTTGAGAGTAACGCAATTTCTATTCTGTGTATGTCCTGTACATGTGGCAGAATTGACAAATAAAGTTGACTTGACTTGACTTGACTTGACTTGACATGACAAAACTTTGGCGCTTTACTTTGGCAGGAGATCGTGATCAGACACAAGCAAACATGCAGACCGCGTAGTCCACAAGACAGAAATAAAAAGTAAAATGTGTTTGTCACAGATGGAGTACAATTCAAAGATAAAAACAGATCAAATCTGTTCTGTACATACGATCATGTTTTTAAATGTTTATACCGTTAATAAAAGATTTTGTGTTTTGTGTAAAACGCGAACAAAAACACATATCCTTAAATCAAAATCGAGAAACGATGTTTTGAAAACGCTGATAATCCCCATACAGTTACGCGAGGGAAGAAGAAAACTACCCTTTACTTGTATTTAAGATTAAAGACTAAATATTAGCAGAATTATGAATCTGATTAGTCACGTAGGTCAGCTGATGTGACGTATCAGATATGTTGGGTTGGTAGAAGCTCATTACACACATAAACTTTTGTAAGATTGGCCACTCCCACTGGGGGGTGGCTGCTACTCTTGGCTTTTGCGTTTGGCTTTTGACTGCAAGCACCGCCCCTCTGGTTGTGCATTTATACACAACCAGAGGGGCTCGAGCAGAATACGTGGTAATTCGTTTTCTCATCATACAAAGTTCTGTTGTTCCACTGGCTGCCTTTTCACACTGGAGGTAATTATTATTATTATTATTATTATTATTATTATTATTATTATTATTATTATTATTGTTGTTATTATTATTGATATTATTAATAACAATAATAATAAGATATTATTTTCTTGAATACTATTACAGATATTTTGGGTTGATGACCCTTCGTCTTGATGCCAGAGTGAAAAAGAAACTGAAAAAGTAACACAGTCATGTGTGTCACACTGTTTGTCAAAGTCAAGTCAAAGTCAACTTTATTGTCAATTCTGCCACATGTACAGGACATACAGAGAATAGAAACTTCGTTACTCTCAATCCCTAGATAAAATAGAAAATGAACATTTAAATATAAGAGTGATTAAAAATGCAAGTAAAATATTTTAAAGTAAAAAAATTAAATAAATATAATACAATTTTACATATAACAAGAAAGCTATACAATATACAATATAAGGGTAAATGACATTGAGTGCAAACCAGGCAAATAGTGCAAATGGAGATTTAGTAATGTACGGTATGAGATAGTGTAACAACAAAGTCTTATGAGGTAATGTGGTGTCTGTGGCCTTCAGAATGTCAGAGGAAATGAAACTGTACTTTACCAAAGTTATGGAGTGTGTATTTGGAGGGAAACCCAGGCATTTTATTCAAGTATTATATGCCCTGGCACAAAAACAGTTTTACTGCATATTCTCTGGAACATGTTTGTGCTTTTATTCTCTGTTTAAAGAATTAAGATTGATTAATTTGTTTTTTGGAAGCCCTCAGAGAAGGAAGAATCAGACTTCAACTGTCCAGACTCAGGACTGATGACTCGGGTCAGTAGCTGTGTGAGGTGACAACTAGTGACAACTAAAATAACAAATTCCATTCCCCCGCATGCTCCAGAGTAGTGGTATGACCCAATTTGCAGATTTCCACATAGGCTTGCTCTGACTGTTTTCCACCTTTTAGCTCGTCAACCAAGGGACTGGGAGCAGCTGCCACTGAGGTAAATCAGAAAACAAAGAAAGATTAAATAATACGTGTGACAGTGGAAACTAAAATGTGTGCAGATTTTTAGAATACAGTTTAATGTGATTGTATAAGTAAATTAATGCTAAACCTAAACCAATTCTTTATTACTCTGTAAATTAAATCCTATATTTAAAGAACGAAACATATATGTGTAGTGTTATGGTTAAGCCTCTACTGCAACACTGATGTTCAATAGATATTACCACTGTGTAGCTGTAACTGCAGCCATCACAAGTATATCCAGTTATCCTAAAATTAACATTAAAAATGTTTTAACTTTAATTATTTAACTTTAGAACATCTGTGAGGTACACCTGAGGGGGATCTTTGGTTGCCAGTCTTGAGGAACACCAGCACATATCCAAACATGAAAGATGGAATGTTGTGGAGAAAAGTGAGGGGGGTGTGTGTGTGTGTGTGTGTGTGTGTGTGTGTGTGTGTGTGTGTGTGTGTGTGTGTGTTGCAGCCAAACTTCAGGAATAAAGTCAATTTTCGCATCATTAATAGTAGATAAGTTTCCATGTTTAAAGGACTGCCATGGCACAGGATATGTAAGTATCTACACTTCAGTGGATACACACAACAATTAAAAAAAACTAAATACTGCTCAGTTTTTCAAAAGGTATACTGAGTGTCATTGTGATTATAAAAATAAATATACAGTTTGTATGTACTCAATTTCCATATCTTTAAAAAATGTACGCACATTATATGTCACTCATCCAAGTGACTTCTTCAGTCATATGCACATTAGAGATGGATAAATAATAACATTTAAATCTATTGCAAAGTTAGCAAAAAGGTTTGTACAACCTTGTGACAGTATGAAGTGTGTGAAACATGATACTTGATCTTGGCTTAGTCAATCTCCTAACAATTAATTGCAACCATTCACAACCACAGACTGGTCTGCTTCATTACAGTTTTCTCCTCTGAGCAAATGTCAAGTATAGTGTTGAAGGTTAGCGCTCCAGGATTACAGACAACCTGACATTAACCAAACAACTGCAGATATTCTTTTAAATGTAACTTTACTGACCTTTTTCCTTTGTTTAAAAAGACGGATGCGTGGTTGGCCCTGGCAGAACTCATAGTTCAGCAACTGGATTTCTGGAGCAGTGTCTACGCAATGTCATGAAAAAGGCTTCTTCTATCAGGAAGAAGAATTCACTAAAGGACCAATAGAAGGTAATTTGTTTCTGCTTTTTGCAGCAGTCTAAGGTCTGTTGATGGCAGCTTCAAAGCATTTTTTGTTTTTGATGCAAGTTACCCAAAGTGACGCGCCCAGGTTTCGGAATTCCTTCACACTGTCATCTATCCCAGGACATGAATCAAATATGATGAAATGAATGAGGGGTCATTTAGCTTTGATGGAAGTGTAAAATGTTGATCATAAAGGTGCATGAAATGATCTGAGAGGGAGATGCCCTCTTGCCACTTTTCCAAAGTGTTGATGTATGTTAAGTACTGAGATAATCATCAATTCATCAGTTTTTTTTTTAAAGTTCTGAGTTTTTACATGTAATTTGTTCTTGTGTATTAACATGTACATAACCAAAGACTGATTTGAAGTAATGGATATAATATGAAGAATTATATACTTTTTTGTTACTTGCATTTTACTTTCATTGATTTATTTTTCATGAATGTTGCTGTCTATGTTCATGTATCATATGGCAATAAAAGTAGTTTTGAGAAAATCTAGTTTTTATATGCTGAATTTTAAAGTTAGCAGAAATATTAATTCAAATGCTAATAGTAATATAACCCTTGTGATGGGTGCTGAGTTTTGAGTCAATTTTGTATATTAGCCTCAGCTGTAAACACTGGTCAATTTAACCCAATTTTTGGATAGTTATCCTAACCCAGTGTCCTGGGTCAAACCAATAACCCAACCCAATAACAAATTGGGTTATTTTTAGCCCAGCATTTTTCAGAGTGTACACTTGTGTAACACAAATGAGACTCTTCAGAAACATCTAAATTAAATCTTCAGTTTAGAGCAGGTAATGTCACTGATCAAACTTCCTGGAGCACTGCAGAAATCAAAGTTGGTTTTGCATGAGACAATCAATAAACTGTAAAGCCAGTTACTGAAATGAACAGAAGAAACCCTCAAAGAAAGACATGAGGACAAAGCAAAAAGGGCAAAAAAAAAAAAAAAGGCAAAACAGCAGCTCTTCTGTAAATATAGCTGCCCTGTTGAAAATCTGTTAACTGTCCATTCAGGCCTAGAATTCTGATCAAACGGCATCACCGAATTCGATAACAAAGAGGCTAATAAGAGGCTTCTGAAGCTACAACCAGCAATCGATGGATGGCTTCAAAGGGAGAAATCTGCAGTAAATCTCTAAAAAAACATGAGTAGCACTATTCAGCAAAAATGCAGCAAGTTCAAACTGAGGCAGCAGGGACGTGTGTGACCGAAAGCCCGGATGCGTATGAGGGTTATTCAGCGTAGCAACATGTGATTGGCTTTTTAAATTTTTTTTTAAATTTCAGTCTGAATGTTTTACTCATAATCTACATTTCTGGAGTTGGCGTGATTACATTTTAAATGTTGTAAAGTCCTGCAGGTAAAAAGATGCTTAATGTCGATTTTGCACTGAAATATTTTTTTCTGTATTTCTTTCTTTTTTTAAAACATTGCTCTCACTCAAGGTTTGTATATTTCTTGCTCTTGAACATATGCTGCTTCTCATCTTGGATGTCACACTCCTGAAAACAGGGGAGAATCACGTGAGTTATTTTCAGTTTCTTCTCTCATGGAGTAGTTTAATGCAATCAAAAATGAACATAAGTATTTTACAGGACTGCAGTGCATTATCTAACTGCAGAAAAGCATTAGATGATGAACTATACAACTAAAGGGTAAATAGAAAAATAATTAGTATAAAAACAAACAAGCAGAGGCACCTTTATCTGAAGCACAAGCTCAAGATTTTCATCAAAGCCTCCTCACCCTGTGGTCTTGGGCTGAGGAGGCTGGATTCTGTTGCATTTGTACAGAACAGAACAGAATCGTGTTTATTGGCCAAGTATATATGCAGACACATACAGGGAATTTGGTTCCGGTAGATGGTGCTCAGCACAGCAATGTAAATCACACACACACACACGTGTCTATATATACGCATTACACATACATACACAAGCTGTGAAAACCAACTATAAATAACGAATCTAAACTTATATACATAAAATACAGAAATGAATGAGGTGGAATGAATACTACAAAATGTACATAAGGTGCAGCTGCAGTCTGGCAGGGGGAGCAGTGTGACAGGTCAACTGTTAAGAAGGGAGCTGGCGAGGGGAAAGAGACTGTTCCTGTGTCGGGTGGTCCTGGTCTGCAGGCTTCTACACCGTCTGCCAGAGGGCAGCAGATCAAAAAGTCTGTGTGCAGCGTGTGAGGGGTCTGTGATGATTTTCCCTGCCCGTTTCCTGGTTCTTGAGAGGTACAGATCCTGGATGGAGGGCAGGGGGGCGCTGATGATCCTTTCTGCTGCCCGTACAGTCCGCTGCAGTCTGATCCTGTCCTGTTTAGTGGCTGCTCCATACCAGACTGTGATGGAGGAGCACAGGACAGACTCAATGACCGCAGTGTAGAACTGGATCAGCAGCTCCTGTGGAAGACTGTACTTCCCCAGTTGTCTCAGGAAGTACATCCTCTGCTGGGTCTTTTTGAGGATGGAGTTGATGTTGGTCTCCCACTTCAGGTCCTGGGAGATGGTTGTACCCAGGAACTTGAAGGTCTTCACAGTTGACACAGGGCTGTCTGATATGGTGAGGGGGAGCAGAGTTGAGGGATGTCTCCTGAAGTCCACTGTCATCTTTACAGTCTTAAGAGTGTTCATCTCGAGATTGTGCTGACTGCACCAGAGTACCAGCCGCTCAACTTCCTGCCGGTATGCAGACTCATCACCATCTTGAATGAGGCCAATGACAGTGGTGTCATCTGCAAACTTTAGGAGTTTGACAGCCGAGTTCTTGGAGGTGCAGTCGTTAGTGTAGAGGGAGAACAGTAGTGGTGAGAGGACACATCCTTGAGGGGCACCAATACTGAGGGACCGGGTTTCAGAGGTGATCTCCCCCAGCCTCACTTGCTGCTTCCTGTCTGTCAGGAAGCTGGTGATCCACTGACAGATAGCTGGTGACACACTGAGCTGGGAGAGTTTGGAGGAAAGAAGTTCAGGCACAATGGTGTTAAAAGCTGAACTAAAGTCCACAAACAGGACCCTGGCATAAGTTCCCGGGCGGTCAAGGTGTTGCAGGATGTAATGCAGCCCCATGTTCACTGCATCATCCACCGACCTGTTTGCCCAGTAGGCAAACTGCAGAGGGTCCAGCTGGTGGCCTGTAATGTCTTTCAGATGGGCTAACACCAGTCGTTCAAAGGATTTCATGACCACGTACATCAACGCGACAGGTCTGTAGTCATTCAGTCCTGTAATGGCAGGTTTCTTGGGAACAGGGATGATGGTGGAGCGTTTGAAGCAGGAGGGAACTTCACACAGCTCCAGGGATCTGTTGAAGATGCGAGTAAAGATGGGAGCCAGCTGTTCAGCACAGGTTTTGAGGCAGGAGGGTGAGACGCTGTCTGGTCCGGGGGCTTTCCTGGGCTTCTGTACAGCCATGGTTTAACATTTCCAGCAAGATCCAGCATGTTTGTAAACTGATGCAACCACCCTCCATGAAGCTACATGTGGCCATCGGCTTGCTGAAGTAAACCAGAGATTAACGTGGAGGCTGAACTCAAACAGGAGCAGCTGAGAAGCACAAAAAAGCTCAGTGGATATGAGTCTCCATACGAGCCCATGAAAGATGGACTTTGAAAAAAGGAAACTACATGTTTTTACTTTGGTAGTGAAAAAGCTGTCTCTTCATTTGATCATTTGAGCAGTTTCAGATGTTTGGAGAGGTAAATGACAAATTTGTTTATTTGTTTACAGTTTTAATTTTGTGAGTAGTTAAATCTGAAATTTTGTGTTTTTGCTGTTTATAACGGATTAAAATTTTTGGGTTTTTTTGTTATAAAATATGTTATTTTTATTTATTTTACTTCTAGTTAACTTGTTTACTGAAAATGAAATAAAATAATCAGACACAGATATTCAGTTCCTTGTGTCAGTTTCTGTAAATTATCAGTGGAATTGACTGCGATGCACCTAAAATCTTTCCTACAGCACAAGCAGGGTGATGGCCTGGACTGGCAGGTATAATATTTACAGCTGGGCTCTTTGACAGAGGTGGGTAGGAGAGTTACCATTGTTGTAAGAGAGGAAATAAGGAGAGAAGCTTTTCACCTGATGGTGTTGTTATTGTTGTCAATCCTGGATTCTAGAAATCTTCCCAGACATGTTCATTACACCTGAAACTAAGATCTTTTTTGTTTGTGAGGCAGCAGACGAATGTTAATTCTTAAACTACTGAAAGAGTGTTATTTGTACTTTTTTGAGTTTGTTACTAATGTAATGGTTATTTTATTAAAATGTATGTAAAGTTGCTTTGTCACCACTTAAAATAATTAGAGGCTTATTTGTAAGAGCCATTCAATATTTCGTTTATAAAACATGGATCACCAGGGGGATTATATACTAAAGTATTCTCCTGTGTATAACTCATAATGATTTCCACTGAACTCTGTCTATTCAACAGGCTCAGAGCACTCTTGTTTTTCACTCATTGGAGAGTTCTGTGATGTCACTTCCTCTCACTCTCCAGTTTAGGTAGCAGCTAACTGCTAACATAACTATTGATCCAGTGCTGGGACAAATTTAGATTTCCATTTATGTTGATCAGAGAGGTACGGAGCCCCGCAGGGGACATGGGAGAGAAAAAAATTAAGACAGACTTTTGCGATATCTCGCAAAACAAACTTGGGATCTTGCAAAACTTTTGCGAGATCTCGCAAAACTTTTAGCTGCATTCTTCGGACGCCGGCTCGAAGCCAACCGGGAGGTCGAGGCACGATGTGCCGGGAAAGCGGTGTTCCACCCGGCTGTAGTAGGTCTCGACCTAAGAATGCGGCTAAAACTTTTGCGAGATCCCGAGTTTGTTTTGCGAGATCTTGCAAAAGTCCGTCTTAATTTTTTTTTTCTCCCATGTCCCCTGCAGGGCTCCGTAGAGAGGAGCTCAATGTGTGAAAAACAAACAGCATCACTGCTCGGTGAATGAAACAGTTTGCATTATCTGATCTTCCAACAGAAAAACTTGACCAAAAACACAAACATTATTTAATATTCATTTATTTTTATCCCTAATGTTTGCCTGACAGGACAGCTCCAGTCCATTTACACAGATTTTTAATCTCACTGAGTTTCTCCTTGTAAAAATAACACTTTAAAGAATTTCAAATCAAATATTTGACATATTTTTAAATTTATAATCATACATTCATTTTAATCACAGGAAAAATAAACAACAGTAACATAGTGATAAACAGGTGATCATCCTGTAAACTCACCGTGTGCTGAGCAAACTGCAGAAAACACAATATTTAAACCGTTTGAGTCAATGTTGGATTTTATTTCCACCAAACTCTGCAGGATCTGCAGGTTTTCATGTCTCTGCATAAAGACCCATCAACATGTGACAACAAAATATACAAATCCATCATATACACAGTATATATTATACAAATACACAGTCAATAGTTCACATTAAGGTCTGTGAGGTCGACATGATTCTCATCAGTAAAGTGAACATGGAGCAAATTTCATCTTCTGACTGAAAACCGACAGATTGACAAAGTTTCCTTTTGAATGAACAGACTTCCATGAAGTTCATGATTTTGTGGATCGTGTCTCATTATTCTGTCCATCATGTTATTAAAGTGACTCCAACAGTCTTGTTTACATTGTTGATCAAACTGTTTCCACTGATTGATCTGATGAAGTTTTCTGACATCTATTATTAGATGAGTAGAAATCCTGTTTTCTATTCAGACAGTAAATGGATGAAAGCAGCAGAGAAGCAGCAGGGAAGCAGCAGAGCTGCTGTCAGTCCACAGTAGAGGCCGATCCTTCCTCGTCTCTCTGTGTTTGATGTCTCAGGTTTTCTCTCAGGTTCAGGACAATCCCTCACTGCTGCAGAGACACAAACATCTGAGTCTCTCACATTTATTAAATAAATATCACTATTTGTCACGGTCTGGGGAAGTGAGGAAGGTGGACCCAAACGCACTATTGTGATAATAATAATAACAACAACAACGGATTGAATTTCTATAGCGCTTTTCGAGACCCTCAAAGCACTTTACAATTTCACTATTCAGTCACTCTCACATTCACACATTGGTGGAGGCAGCTACAGTTGTAGCCACAGCTGCCCTGGAGCTGACTGAGACATGGCACTATATTTACAGTGGAGCAAATAAGACAGGACAATAATCCCTGTGCGCTCCCTCGACTCCTGTGTCATATCTTCACCCAAAACGCTTTGCTCTGTGCTCTCTGCTCCCATGTCCTCACACTCCCCATGCCTGCTGTCCACCTGTGTGCCACTCTTGTCCTCTTGGAGTCGACTTCAATGATCCTCTTAAATAGCTCCCCCAACGAGCCTCATCAGTAGCAGGTGCATGGCATGGTCTTCTGGTGTGGTCAGCCTCCAAGCTGGGCACCACCCACTAGGCCTGGAGGTGCCTGTCACCCAGCCTACAGGGCACCACCACATCGGCAAACACATGCACTCACTCACACCTGCCAAAGCATACATGCGTACAAGCATACAAGCAAACACACACACGGACAGCAGCACAGTGCACACACATTTCTAAGAAATATAAAAAAGTCCATAACTGCTCAGGGACCCTTGGACGCTCAAGGCCCAGTCCCCAGTTTATCCAAAATAGGTTTCTGTACTGAACATGCCATTAAATTTTTATTAAATCAACTTACCAGTGACGTTGAGCCAAGATCTGCCAGATCTTAACCCATAATCACTCTTCACTTTACAAACGTACAGACCCGAGTCATCAGTCCTGAGTCTGGACAGTTGAAGTCTGATTCGTCCTTCTCTGAGGGCGTCTTTGTCACTCTGGACTCG